TGGTAAGTCAGATCATCACACTGATTCTTTAAAGATTACTAGAATTCTACTGTGTAAAATTATTATGCAGGGTATAATAACAAGAGAAAATTTGTTATTCTCTATGTTAAGAGAATTTCTCTTTCTCTCCCTGTGAAGAGTGAACCACTTTGGGGGGGGCATGGCCAGTGTCGCGATGAAACGATATGTTCTTTGGGGGCTCCCAAGGGATTGTTGATATCCCAGCCATTTGGGGGTCTTTTTAGATCGAAGCCATCCTGTAGGGACAGTGAATAGGAGAGGCACAGACTGGTGAGCATAGGGAAATCACTAATTCCCTGGCTAATTGAAAGAAGCCTCTCATCTGGACAACTGTGAAATCAGCCATTGAATGTGCTGCTACAAAGCTGGGGCAGTCACAACAGAAGTGAGGAAGCAAAAGAAAGTGTGGATCATCTGGGTGAGATGCTTACTTTTTAAAATATAAGTTTCATTTCATAACCTCCTGGAAACAGCCAAAAAAGCAGAAAATGGCACAAAGAGAGGAGGGGAGAGTGGCCATGTGTTGGCTCTCTTTCTCCGATAGCATAGCAGTGAAGAAAGCAGGCAAGCCCAAATAAAAGAAGGAAAATTGAATGAATTAGCAGAATTGTTTTGGAGAACAAGAAAGCCTGAAAACCTGATTGAGTATTTTTAAACTTTTGAAAGTTAGAGAAAAACATTATTTGAAAATACCAACAGGGCTTTCAAAATGGAAGCGTTAATACATCCAAATATTATCAATATGGAAAATATTATTAGATATAAAGATATTTTATCAGAAAAGAGGTAATTGAAAATGAAACAAGAATTAGAAGAACAAGGGATTGTTATGGTTTGATATACACAATTGCAAATACAAACGAGATATGAAAAAGATGCTAAGTTATATGGTTTTTATTTGGAAATGACAGAATTCCTGGATTACTCACAGGAACAGATGAGAAAACGATTAAAAAATTGTATAACTATTTACTTGGTATTAAATTAGAAGAAGAACAAGTAAAAGAAACAATGAAAGCATGGCTTTTTGGATACACAATAGAGTTAGATAAATGGCAGCAATCATGGGAAAGAAACTACAAATTAACAATGGCTACAGCATATAAAGAGAATTTGTATAAAATGTTTTATAAATGGTACATGTCACTGGAAAGATTGGCAAAAATGTTTAAAGATAAATCAACTAAATGTTGGAAATGTCACCAGACACAGGGATCGTACTATCATATGTGGTAGACATGTCCAGAAGTGAGAAATTATTGGGCAAAAATTCAATTATGGTTAGAGAAGATGACGCAACAACATATTGATTTAAAACTGGAGCTGTTCCTGTTGGGTATCTTATTGGAGAAAATTAGTAAAGAAAATGTATATTTGATGATACATGTAATAACTGCAGCTAAAATTTTATTTGCACAAAATTGGAAGCAGAAAAAATTCCTACGAAGGGAGAGGTAATTAAGAAAATATTAGAATGTGCAGAAATTAATAGATTAACAATGTCAATTAAAGGGAAGAAAGAATCAGAGTATTACAATATATGGGGGAAAATTTATCAATGGATAGAGATTGAATATAGACAAAAACAGCATAAAATTTAAGAAATCTGGAAAGAATATGTAATAAATTAAATTAAAATGTAAAAGCAAATATATATATGTATTAAGAAAATGGTAGTAAATGTTGAATATGATGACACAAAAACTTGTACTCAGATGACATGCTGATTGATTAACGATGTACCGTTTGTTTAAAAAATTTTAAAAAACTTTTTTTATATAAAAAAATAGATTGAACGGCTTTGCTTCTTTCAAACCTATTGCTTTTCAACTTGTCAATGAATGGAGGGGAGGGAGATGGAATATGGAGAATGTATGCAGAGATCGTGAGAGCATGGAAACCATCAAGGTCACCATTGCAGGTGTTGGAGAAAAAATGGACTGTTCCCATAACAAATGGACATCTCATAATTGGACATTGTGATCAACCAGGGGTGGGGAGAAAGAGAAGGGTTGTTTAACAGGGCAAGCATTTGCAGGAAACCAAAGCTGGTTTCGTTTCTTCAGTACCAACATGGTGTATCCAATAAAGTTTTACTTTTGGGGATTCAATTTTCCCGAGAGTGTTTCCTTGTTTTGGGTTCGCTAATTGGATAGTTGACATTAAACCAGCTCTGGTTTCCTGCACAAATCCTTGCCCAATTAAACAACCTTTCTCCTTCTCCCCACCTCTGGTTGATCACATTGTTCAGGTCTGTCTCTTACAACAAAGAATCAAGACAAAGTTTTTAGAAAAATCAACACTTCCTTGAATAGCTCAAATCTTCCCATTAAGATGTTATTCAAGACAGGAAATTAGAAGAGGATAAATATTTTAATCATACATTGATAAAAGTACCAACTGTTAAAAACATGTGTTTCTATTTAATAATAATTTAAGTAATGTTATGAAGAGTGTCATATCATTATCATATTTCCCTAAAACTAAATGATCAAGTCTCCCTTAATAGACTACATTCTGTTAAATACACATTTTTTTCAACAAAACACAAATAAACTGTATGCATAATGAGAGAAACAGTAACAGTTTACTCACAATTAAACATAAAGAGTTTTAGTTGCATAAAATATATTTCAGTGGATAGAAAGTAAACACATATGGTAGATCAGTATGCCAATCTCATTTTCAAAAGTGGAAAACACCTGTAAAATATTTCAGTGTTTTTCTCTTTCATCTGTAATAATGATGAATGTTATGTTCCTTCTTAATTTTGATGCACTTAATTGTGTTCTGTTAAAATGGAGTATGAGCAAACATAGTTTGATTTTAGTTAAATCTTATATTTAAATTGACTTGGCTAAGAAAATTTTTGATTTGGCATGTTTTATACCCATATATTCCATTATTACAAAGATTCAGAAATACAAATATAAAATCTCGCATATTTTAAAAGAATCTGAGCATAGTTACAAAACTGGGAAACTGTATTGAAGCTTTGTGTCCTACCTACTTACAGTTTTTTCTGCTCGTTTGGGTCTCTTTTTTGTGCCTTTTTAGCCTCTCAATTCTCCTTAAAATATATATTTTTAAATCTTCTGTTTATTATCACCTGCTTATTTATCTTGTACTGACTGGGATTTTTCACTACATAACTGAGTTTGAGGTATTGTATTTGCTCTTAACAATTGTGCATAATATAAAACTATTTCTTACAGTTCTTCATTTTTTTGTAATTTCCCCAATAGTTACTTAAGTAGCATAATAGTTCCCCAATAGTTATTTAAGTAGCACAATGTGCCATTCTCAAAAGAGGCTAACTCTGCCAATGAGCCCTGTTTTACCAATCTAGAAAAAGGAGTTGTCAGATGCTTTGATCTTAAGTTGGAGCTTAACTTTTGAACTGTTCTTGCAAACTGGATTTTAACTAGGAGTGAGATACTTTTTGCATTGGTCCAACAGAGCTTAAACTCTTTGCTGAACAGTTTAGAGGCTGTTTTGCTATTCTTTTGGCATCTTTTTTATCTCAGTATTAAAAGAGGCACCAAGGGAATATTTCAAAGAAATACAATGGGAAGATCGTTGAAGCAATCCTGTAGAATCTTGGCAGGGATAAATTCCTTTAAATGGATTCTATCCCTACCATTTTTATCCCTTCCTCCGGGCTCCGATGCAGCAGGTTTTTATAAACTGAAACATTTCATCAAATTGAATCCTAAATAGTTTTGAATCGAACCTTTTTGCCTTTGAATATCAAAACACGGACCTTTGAATTGGGACTTGGCTGATTGGCATCCCCTGATACATTTTCAATGGAAGTCTCCCTTTTTACAGAAAGCAGGATTGAAGGAAAGGAAAGACATTATTATGACAAGTAAACACCAGCTTTGTATGTGGTTTATAGAAGGCCAGATTTACGACCACAATTGGGATCAGAATTTCTGTTACTATGTAAGCTGGCTGTTAAATGAGTTGCACATGATTTTATGATGTTTTTGGCCATGGGTGTTAATGAAGCACTGCAGTTAAATCAGGGATGTCAAACTGGTGGCCCAGGGGCTGGATGCATCGCATGCAAACCACACCCACCCTAGCTCCACAAAGACAAAAAATGTCACAATACATTATGATACATCACATGACGTGACCGAGTTTGACACCCGTGAACTAAATGAAATACAATAGTGGCCAAAATTGTGGAAACTTTTTGGGAAAAGTGTATTTTTAAGATTTGATGGCTAATAACACCACTTTTGGGGGAAGTTTCAAGATAATCTGGAATGGCTGGGAATAGCCCAGACCTTAACCCAATTGAAAATCTATGGAGCCGACTAAAGAAACTTGTTAGTCAGAAGTGACCCAGCAATAAAACCCAGTTAATAAAAGCAATCATTCAATCTTGGTTTCACATTATAACAGCTGCAGAACTAAAAGACTTGGTTCACTCCATGGGAAGATGTTGTAAGGCCATAATTCATGTTAAAGGTTACCCAACTAAGTATTAACTGACATGGTGATAATTTTTGTATATCTCATTTTTTTCTACGTGTTTCACTTTTCTTCTTTATATTGTAACTGCTATGCTAATACCAAATCCTTCATAAAAGTTATTGCATTACATTGATTAAATTATCTTTCCAGTGATATATAATTTTATGGTACTACTAAAAAAAAAGTGGTGTTATTAGCTAGTTTTAGAGAATACACTTTTCCCAAAAGGTTTCCACAATTTTGGCCACTACTGTATGTTGTTGTTAAGCAAATCCAGCTTCCTTCAATGACTTTCCTTGTCAGCTGGAAAGGTCACAAATGGTGATCCTGGGACCCTGCAACCACTGTAAATACATGCTGTTTGTGCCCAAATTTTGATCGGATGATCCTGGGGATGCTGCCATAGTCATAAGTGTGGGGACCAGTTGTAAGTAACTTTTTTCAGTGCCATTGTGACTTCACTAAATGAATGGTTGTAAGTCAAGAGCTACCTTTTAAATGCTAGTGGATGACAAGAAGGAAGCTTTCTGGAAATCTCTACAGCAGTGGTTGTGCTGGTTCCTCCACTGTGAGTTGTTTCTGTTATTTAGGCTGTTCAACACTGTGAGGAGATGATACAAAGTTAAATCACAGTCTTTAGTCTTCATGGGCTTTCAGTTTTGTGACTGATATACTGATGTACATATCGATCATGTCTATGTGTGGGTACTTTTCTATGATTCACAAACACACTATTGTATTTCCTTTCAGTTGTATTTCTTAAAGCTAATCATACCGTGTTCTCTCAATGGCTCTCATGTTCTCATCGTACGCTAAATAATAATAAGTGGTTCTCTGTTAAACCGAGTTTCAGTTCCTTGCACAGTCCTCTTGTTATTTGCACCTGTTCCACTTTGTACAAGCCTTTCTTTAAAAAAGTGCCTTAGAGTTTGGAGTACTTGAAATAGGATTTAACTATGTAGACTAGAGTTATAGGTGAGTGGATTTGTGATAAGAAATCAATAAGAGAGAACTTGACAACATAACCTGGGTCTATGATTACAGAGAATACATTTTATTTTATTTTATTTTATTTTATTTTATTTTATTTTATTTATTATTTTATTTTATTTTATTTTTATTTTTATTTTTTTATTTTTTGTTTGTCAAACATGTACAAGATAGCAGCTATAGGTATAAACATAAACATAAACAAAGGAAGTAAGTACAGGTAAATGGGAACAGTAAGACAGGGATGGTAAGCATGCTGGTGCACTTATGCACACCCTCTTTACGGACCTCTTAGGAATGGGGTGAGGTCCACGGTAGACAGCTTGAGGTTGAAGCTGTGAGGGTTTGAGGCTCTAACAACGGAGTCAGGTAGAGCATTCCAGGCATTGACCACTCTGTTGCTGAAGTTGTATTTTCTGCAATTGAGTATGGAGCAGTTTACCTTGAGTTTGTATTGATTGTTTGCCCATGTGTCATTATGGTTGAAGCTGAAGAAGTCATTAACAGGTAAAACGCTGTAGCAGACAATTTTGTGTACTATGCTTAGATCGGACCGCAGGCGGCACAGTTCCATCCAAGCCCAGAATTTCAAGTCAGGTGGCATAAGGGATTCTATTGTGAATAGAGGAGTGGAGTACTCTTCTTGTGAAATACCTCTGGACCCGCTCAATTGTGTTAATCAGTGGTGGGTTGCCCCTGGTTCGCACCAGTTCTATAGAACCGGTAGTAAAACCGGTGGGAGGCTCCGCCCACTGACCCTGATGTCATCAAAATGCTTCTGCGCATGCACGTGCGTGCGAGTGAAGCGAGCGCGCGTGCAGCCCTGCTACAAACCAGTAGTAAAGGTAAGTAGAATCCACCCCTGGTGTTAATGTCCGATATACAGTGTGGATTCCAGGAGAATGAGTTGTATTCAAGAATTGGTCTGGCAAAAGTTTTGTATGCCCTAGTTAGCAATACAATGTTATCGGAGAAGAAGCTTCGCAAGATTAGATTAACATTGCCTTTTTGGCAATGCTGTTACAGTGAGCTCTGGGGCTTAGATCATTTGAGATGAATACTCCTAGGTCCTTGACAAAGTGAGGGTCGTCTACGAGATCATTTCTGCCCAACTTGTATTTGGTGTTCTGGAGTGGGGTTTTTTTTGCCAATGTGTAGGACAGAGCATTTATTAGTTGAGATTTGGAGTTGCCAAAGCGAGACCTTTCTGACACGTACTCAAGGTCATTTTGTAGGGCAGCAGCATTGTCAGTGGTGTTAAATAATTTTATGTCATCAGCGAAGAGGACACAGCTGCTTTTAATATGATCACATAGGTTTTAAACCCAATAGTTATAATGAAGCAATAACCTTATTAAGACAACCAAAGATTTTATAAAACTTTTGCAAGGATTTGAATTTCCAAGAAAATTCTTTATTAACAAGAAGGCTTAAGCACATCTGTAGCAAAACAAATATTTGGAATAGAGAATTACTATACATGTTGGTTCTTAATGGATGCCAAGATTAATGGTGAAGAGACTCTCCCAAATCTTGCTAGGTAGATAAAAGAAGCAACTAATTATTGGACTCTTATTTCTGAAATTATAAAATCAAACTCTTGAAATCACAGTGTTTCTAATCTCTGTAAGGTGCAGAAATCATTGCGTAGATTTTTAATATACCCATCCTTTGGAGATAAAGAATTAAAAAAATTCTAAAGAGCTGAGTTTTAAAGACATATATATTATTCTACTCCATATCTATGTTTGCTTGTTAGTGATAAGAATATATTTGTTCGTTATCTCACTACTGTGGTATCTGATTATGCCGCTACACCACAGGGGTGAAATGCTACTGGTTCGCACTGGTTTGGGTGAACTGGTAGTGGCGGTGGTGGGTGTTTCGGAGAACTGGTAGTGGCGGCAGCATGAGGCTCCGCCCACCTGCCCGGATGTCATTACTTCCTGATTTTAACCAGGAAGTAACCTGTTTCTGGCCCTCTGTGCATGCACAGAAGGCTTTGTGCATGCAAAGAGGGTCCAAAATTGCATGTGACGTGCATGTGTGTGGAAGCGATGCGTGCATTTCCGAACCGGTAGGGAAGGTTTCACCCTTGCTACACCATAAAACATAGAGAATTAATACCAATGAGTTGGTCTTTCCATCTTCCATATATTTATCTCTAAAGAAGAGTATTTCAGAGAAAATGCAAAATTAATTGATTTTTATTTTTATTATTTAATTAATCTATGAATAAATAATGCTTACCACTATAAGTCCTCCTCTTTTCTTTTTTTTAAAGTCCTGAGCATATGAGTCTTTAAGATCTTCTGCATTATTATATGTAATTGAGTTCAAATTTTTCTGGCTTTTCCTAAATGTCCACCAAAAATGATAAAATATCCCTTCCATGATGGAGGAATGGATAGTGAAGATGATGGAATCTGCTGAGACGGCCAAACTTTTCTTACTTCATATATATTTTCCTAATGCATTTAATTTTTATCTGTCTGTGTGTTTTAGATATATTTATTTCTCTGAAGAACTGCTTGTAACGTTTAGGGATTTCTAAATGCTCATTATAAAATAAATAGTAATTGCTTTCAAACTTGTTAATCTGGGAAGTGCCAATTAGGTAGAGTCTTATTAAACATTAAATGCATCCTCAATAAATTTCAGCTTGAAAATAATATAGCAAACTCTTTCCCTACCTGTTAAAGGAACTAGTTTTCTTCTCACAATATTTCTTCATCCTGGAGTAACATCTGAGAATCAATAGGTACCGAGATCCCTTAACCTGACCCTCTTTTTCTGGTTCTCCAAAGTTTGCAAGATGTCAATTAATATAATTACCCATAATGGCCTAAAACAGTGCTATATCAATCTAATTCAAACCTGCAATCAGCACTATAGGTTTGACACTCATTGAGGTTGTCTTTCAATACATTTCAGCCTATCTTTTTTTTTTTTTTTTAATTTTGATTTATATGTCGCCCTTCTCCGGAGACTCAGGGCGGCTTACAATGTGCTCAGCAATAGCCTTTATCCTTTTTGTATATTTATACAAAGTCAGCTTATTGCCCCCACAACTGGGTCCTCAATTTACCTACCTTAGAAAGGATGGAAGGCTGAGTCAACCTGCAGTAATTGCAGGCAGCTGTTCTTAATAACAGGGTGCTTTAGACCACTGTACTACCAAGGCTCTTTTTACCTCATAGGCAGTGGTGAAATGTAAAATTTGTTACTACCGGTTCTGTGGGTGTGGCTTGGTGGTGGTGGTGGTAATGTGACTGAGTGGGCGTGGCCAACTTTTTTTTAAAACTTTTAAAACCATTTTTTCTATAACCTCTTCGGCTGAAGAGGATGTCAAAAATTCTTTTAAAAGCCTCTGACGATCAGGCAACTCAGCTGGGATCATCAGAGCCTTTTAAAAGCATTTTTTCTACAACCTCATTTAAGCTTACACCGACTGCTTCAGTGACTCCATCCAGCCACCTCGTTCTCTGTCATCCCCTTCTTCTTTTGCCCTCAATCTTTCCCAGCATTAGGCTCTTCTCCAGTGAGTCCTTCCTTCTCTTTAGACGGCCAAAGTATTTGAATTTCATCTTCAGGATCTCACCTTCTAAAGAGCAGTTAGGATTGATCTCCTCTAGGACTGACCAGTTGGAACCAAGGGACTTGCAGGAGTCTTCTCCAGCACCATAGTTCAAAGGCCTCAATTCTTTAATTTACCAGTAGGAGTAGGTAATAGGAAAGAGGAGAAGGATAATAATAATACAGTCCTACTATATGGTTAGGTATCTTTAGGCATAGCAGAGTGCTGTGGGAATTATGTGTTTAACAAAGTGATGCCATGGGGGAAAATACTGTCTTTATGTCTAGTTGTTTTAACATGTAATACCCTATAGCAGCATCCTGAAGGAAAAAGTTGAAACCACTTATGTCCAGTCTGTAGATACTTTTTTCATCCCCTTTTCTGATTCATGCAGTATACAAGTCCTCAATGGAAGGTTGATTTGCTCAGTTGATTTGCTCTTGAGGAATTCTTAAAAGGTCCATAACTAAATTTGATAAACAGTTTTGCACAAAATTTACATTAACTTACTCACTGAAAATATTTGGATGCTGATTTCTTTCTAAAAATTGTGAAGCATCAGAGATCTGGAATAATTGTGCGTAGTTCCTTTAGCAAATCTTCCGTCATCATTTGTTTTGAGGCAGCGTGTAACATGTGCCCGAAAAGAGATCCAGTGATTTCCAATTTTCCTCTGTCAGTTGGCTCTACAGTTCATGAAGCTTTGGGATTTTAGAAAATAAAGACAAGAAAGGCTGTAATTTCTTCAGCTTGGCCTTTTGATATCGATCAGATCAGCACTGATCTCTACAAATGTCAGAAGCTTAATGTTGCCTACTGTTCAGAGGCTTCTACGGAGTACAAGCTCCATGACGAACAAATTGGAGAGGAAACCTAAGGGTGACAATTTTACTTAATTGCTTGAAAGCTGTTGTCTTGTGATTAACCCACATTTTTTTCATTAACACCAGAGCTAG